AGCAGGAGGAACAGCAGCAGCAGCAAGCAGCAACACGGGCAGTGCGCTGCAGCAGACCTTCGCAGCAGCGCTAACGGCTACACAGCGTCTCAGCGCGGCGTGCTGCGTCCACAGGCCGGATGCAGCAGCAGCAGCATCAGCAGCAGCAGCAGCCGTATACTGCAGCTGAGTGTTTCCGCCTCGTACAAAGCCGAGAGGAATCTGCTGACTCAGTTGCCTCCTTCGAGACCTTCGCCCCCAAGAAGCCTCGTGCTGCAGCAGCAGGAGAGGGTGCAGCAGCAGCAGCAGCAGCAGCAGCAGCAGCAGCAGCAGGGGGCGGGGCTGGTGGGGGGTTGTGGGGCCCCCTGAAGAACGAAGACAGAGACTGTGCTGCTAGCAGAAGCAGCGGAGACTCACCGCTGCCTGCTGCTGACTATAAGAGCAGCAGAACCCCAGGCGTAGCCTGTGCATACACCCCAGGCAGCACGTTGCTGCTGCCCCCCCCAAGAAGCCTGCAGGTATCAACAGCAGCATCAACAGCAGCAGCAGCAGCAGCAGCAGCAGCAGCAGCAGCAGCGCGGCGAAATCTGGGGGGTCCGGGCTCCCCTGGGGCCTTATCAAAGCAGCAGCAGCAGCAGCTGCTGCAGCAGCAGCAAGCTGCTGGTAGCCCACGAGAAGCTGCTGCTGCAGCACGAGAAGCATACATTGCTGCTGCCTCGCAGCATATGAGTGAGAAGTTCAACGCAGAAGCAGCAATAGGTGCAGCACAGAACGCAGCCTATCAGGCCCACATAAAAAAGGTACAGGACGTAGCCCCCCAAGCAAGTACACTAGCACGGCTGGTGATGCAGCAGCAACAGCAGCAGCAGCAGCAGCAGCTGCAGCTGCAACAGCAACAGCAACACAAACAGCAACACCAACAGCACCAGCAGCAGCAGCAACAGCAGCAGCAGAAGATCAGGGGGGGCCTCTCTCGCAAGCTCTTCGGTAGGGGCCCCCTCACCGACACCAAAACAAGTAAAATACCCATATATGATGCTTCGTCTCCCCCCCCTATATACGAGGCAACCCCAGACTGATATCTGGGGGCCCCTAGGGGGCCCCCCTGGGGGCCCCCCTGGTGGCCCCAGTAAAGAAATAGATGGACTAGGAATTAACTATTTTAACGAAAACAAAAGAATGAACTCGCAATAACAAAAGTATTGGCGTTTCAGTCTAT